ACGGTGCAGGGCGGGGTCACGAAGGATGGGGACGTTATCTGCATGGGCCAGGTGCTGGTGAGGTCTCTGGCGCCCCCGCCTGCGGGTGGGGCGGGTAGGGGTGGGGTGGGGGGTGGGCTCCTCCGACCCGACCAGGCACGTCGGCTCAGAGGACGGTCAGGGTCAGCGTCTGCCCATGGGTGGAGCCAGTGCCATTCAAGGTTTTCCCGCCACTCGGGCATATTTTCCGTAGGGGTCCTCCCGAGGATCGATCCGATGAGTCAACTTCAAGTCTCATCAGGAGGATTTCGTCGTCAGTTTTGCCAGACATCCCCAAACGAAAAGCAGTGGCTGCGATCGTTTTCACGTCCCGTAGGAAATCAGTCTTGGAGTTCGCGCTCCGGGGCGAGGCAATCACAGTGGTTTCGGTTTCCCCAAAGGTTCGTGCCCCTCGGCGTCCACAGAGACCTTAGACCAGCTCTGCGCGGATCTCACTGAGCTGCTGGAAGAGAACCTTTGAGGCCTATTCGATTGGACGGAGGAGGAGGAACGTGCCAGCCACGAAGGGTGGGGCCGAGAACCGAAGTTCACGGAGCGGGAGGTCATCAAAAAAGGGCACGGGGCACACGCCAGAGGGTGCTTGCAGGCGCAGACATGGAGGCGGCTCGCGGCTACCTTGTGGGACATGCTAGGGAACATGAGCCGCCTACGCTGGCCACGCAGTGTCCATCAGGATATGCGCTTGCTGTCGACGCTGCAGGCGAAGCTGGGCCGCCTCGCCAGGCATAACCTGGTTGGTAACATCAACCTCGGCGAGACGCAGAAGAAAGTGCGGCAGCGCGCCTTGGCCGAGGAGCTGAGGACGGTGGGCGAGATCACCTTCGACGGGCTCAGCGCCCTCGGGGCCCGCGCCAGGGAGGTTGCCACCAAGTTCGACCGTCGGTCTGCCAAGGACAGGGCGTGGGCCCAAGGGGCAGTGCGTGACCGCGGCGGCGCTGCGCGCAGCTTCCGTCGAACTCCGCAGGGCTGGGCGGCAGACCGATCGGAGCAAGGCCAGCAGGATGGGATCGCAGCCGCGTTGCGCGCCGTCGCCGCCGAGCTATGGAGCGCCAAGGAGTGTGGCGCTACGGCCAGGAGGAGTTCGACTTGGGGCAGGCCCTCCCCGCCCACCTGCTGGTGGAGACGGGCCCGTCACCGGCTCCGCATGCGCTGGCTGAAGCGGCGGCGAGCTTCCAGAGGAGAACGGTGGGCATCGGCAACGTCGCGCCGTGCCGCTTCGGCAGGCTGTCACGCGAGGGCCTGCTTGCCCTTGGCCTGCTCCTCCGCCTTTCGGCGCGGCAGATCGTGGAGGTGTTCGTTGTATTTTTGGCCAAGGCTGATGGGGGATGGAGGCCTATCGGCCTGATCTCGTCGCCGCCCAGCCTTCGGGCAAGGCGCGGCGCGGTGGGGCCAAGGCGTGGGAAATGACCAGGAGCAGGGGCTACTTCATCGGAGGCGCTGGGATGTCCTGCGCAGACGCGGCGTGGCTCCAGAGCGGGCTTCCCGCTGCGGCGCATCGAGATCCCCCTCGGACTGCGCGGCGGCGGGCGATGCCCCTGGTTCGACCGCTGGAAGACGGAGGCCTTCAGTGTCTGCGTCTCGCTGCTGGCTGCACATTCGCTGCCGCTTTGCTGCGCGCGGTGCTGGTGCAGCCCTTGGATGCGATGTTGAAGGCCCGGCAGTCCGTGAAGATCTACGTGGCGGTGGGCGACATCACCTTGGCGGTGCGCGCCGAGCAGTGGCGCGCCGTGCGCATCCTCGGCGCCGACGCCGTGGCCGCGAAGAAGGCGGAGGTGGCAGTTCAGGCGCGCCACGGCCGCCGGCAACCTCGGCGTTGATTCCCTCGCGTGGGGCAGGACGTCCTGGAGGGTGCCGCGCCAGCGGGTCGCTCGACGCGAGCTACTGGCCAGCCGCTACATGGCCCCGAGGAAAGCAGGCGCTAAGAAGCTGACCAGCATCTTCAGGACAGGAGGCCTGGCGCCCACCCCCCGCGGCGCAAGGGTGCGAGGGGCGCCGGCGCAGCCGGCGCAGCAGCTCCAGCGAGCGAGGGCCCTGAACGGCAAGGCGCTGGCACGGGGGCCAGGCAAGAAGTCTCGCGCGATCCAATTTGCGCCGCAGAGGGGCAAGGCCTGGAGACGCGGCCCCGCGTTCGCGGCGCACGAGCTACCCCCCAGGGCCTGGGCGAGAGCGGTGTTCGACGGATTCAGATCGGAAGGGGCCTTCAATGTGGGTTGAGGTCGCTGGGTCCCCCAGCGCCGTGCGCCTTTTGTTGAGGCGCATTGGCTGGGAGCTAGTGTCCTGGGGCGTCTGGCGCGGCGTCCGAGTCCAGATGATCCAGCTGCGGGAGCTCAGCCCGCGCGTGGTGGCCAGCCTGGTGGATGCGGGCGTCTGCGCGGGAGGTGGCCAAGCACCCTGGCTTCGAACAGCTGGGGGGGGGGTCGCCTGACCTCGAGCCTCTCCGCTGCGCGTTGATGGAGTTGCGCGCGCAGGGCAAGACCCAGGAGGTTAGCTTGCTGGAGGCTTACATCGCAGGGGGGCCTGTCACGCAGAGAGAGTTGTTCGACGAGTGCGCGTCGTTGAGCTCCGACTGCCGGCGGTGCCAGGCTGCGGAAGGAGCCCCGCGCCATCGCTTGTTCACTTGCCAGCCATCCAGTCTTGGGCCCAGGAGTTAGGCTGCCACGACGCGGCAAGTGCGGGAAAAGTCGGCACCCGACAACGACCTTTGGATGATCAGAGGCTTGCTGAACCTGCGCTTTGAAGCAGCGCCGCCGCCGAGCATGATGGAGCATTGCTATCGGGCTGGAGAGGCCAGAGACGGCTTCTTCAATGGGGTGACCTGCGTAGATGGCTTGGCGACCTGCCCAGAGGCTGCCATATTGACGAGGACAGGATGGGCTGTAGTCGTGGTCAACGACGCGGGGCGGGTCACGAGAGGGATGTGCGGTTGCGCGCCAGGGTGGGTCCAGGAGATAGGCTGCGCGGAGTTGCATGAGTTGCGCTGGGTGCTTCAAGAAGTGGGGCCCGAACCAGTGGTCGCCCCCGCCGATTGCAAAGGCCTTCGAGATGATTGTGTGCGAGGAGCTACCCAGTGCTGCAGTGGCGATCACGAGTGCGCGGACCTGTGGCGCGACATCGTCAGAATGGTCGATGAGATCGGCCAAGACTCCATCGACCTGCGTTGGGTCAAGGCCCACGCAAGCCAGGCGGAGGCATGCTGCCGCGGCACAGCCTTCGGCGTCCTCGCGGGGAACAAGGCCGCGGACGAGAAGGCGCAGCTGGGGGCGCGGCTGCGCCTTGGCCAGCGCCAGCTGCGACAGCAGGAGGCGCGGTGGGATGCGGCTGTGATCGCGGCCCGCATGCGGTGCCTCCTCTACGGCGGAGTCTCGAACAGACACGCTGACTCCTCCCGGCCCGACCGAGGGCCTCTCCAGGACCCCGCCCCCAATGTTCCAGGGACCTGGTGTTGATTTCTTCGGCCGAGGGGCACCGAGTTCGGAGGCTCGGTCGAGCCTGGGGGTGCGAGGTATGTGGGGCACGCAAGGCCCTCAGGTCCAGGTTGGTTTCGCGTCCTTGCCCGCGGCTCCAAAGGGCCCAGTCCCACGAGTCCCATCGTTTTTGGGGTGATCCGAGGGGCGGGGGACGGGCCTGGTTTGTGGGCCTCCGGGACTGGTTGGGGCATGATCTGTTTTTGCTGTACATGCGGGGCCTACGGACGGAGGCAGGCGCTCCTCTTGTGCGACTCGTGTGTTCCCCTGGCCCAGAAGAACCGCGCGGCGGCTAGGCTGGCGCGTGTTGCTTTGGACAAGCTCCGTGGAGGCAGGGAGCCGCAGTCGGGGAGGTTATGAGGGCTCCCGTTTCCAGTGTCCAGGGCCTGCACGGCGAGGTCGGTTTAAGTTTTCCCAGGCTGCCATGGTTTTGCGCAAGGCCTTTTTTCTTCCGTGGCTTCGTTTCCTGGTCAGCCTGAGGGTTGGGCCGTGTTTAGGGTGCGGGTTCGACAGCAGCGCGGTCCGCCTTCTTTTGGGAACCAAAGGAAGTAGAGGAGGATGAGGAGAAGGAGGATGATGACGACGATGATGATGGTGGTGGAGGTGATGCTGATGCTGCTGATGTTGTTGAATATGATGATGCGGATGCTGATGATGCTGATGATGCTGATGATGCTGATGATGCTGATGATGCTGATGATGCTGATTGTGATGATGATGATGATGATGATGATGATGCTGACGATGCTGTTGCTGATGATGATGATGATGATGATGATGATGATGATGATGATGGTGATGATGATGATGATGATGATGATGGTGTCCCGATGCTGATGCTGATGCTGATGCTGATGCTGATGATGATGATGATGATGGTGGTGATGATGATGATGATGCCGATGTTGCTGTTGTTGATGATGATGATGATGATGCTGATGCTGATACTGATGCTGATGCTACTGCTGCTGCTGCTGATGATGATGATGCTGATGATGATGATGATGATGATGATGATGATGATGATGATGATGATGATGATGATGATGATGATGATGATGATGATGATGATGATGATGTTCATTAGGATGATGATGAGGAGGCGGAGGAGGAGGAGGAGGATGAGGAGGACAGGGAGGAAGAGGAGGAGGACGAGGAGGAGGAGGAGGAGGCGGAGACGGGAGGAGGAGGAGGGAGAGGAGGAGGAGGAGGAGGAGGGAGGAGGAGGAGGAGGGAGAGGATGGAGGAGGAGGAGGAGGAGGCGGAAGAGGAGGCGGAGGAGGAGGCGGAGGAGGAGGAGGAGGAGGAGGAGGAGGAGGAGGAGACGGAGGAGGAGGAGGAGGAGGAGGAGGAGGAGGAGCGACGAGCGACGAGCGACGAGCGACGAGCGAGGAACGTCGGGCCAGGAGCCTCGCTCGGCTCCACCGCGCAGCCCCTTAGGGCCTCAGAGCCCCCTCCTCGGCGGAGGGCTGGGCGGCGGCCGGCTGGGCGGGGCCCATGCAGTACGGCGGCGCCGGCCAGGGCGAGTTCAATCGGCGCCCAGGGGCGGCGGGGGGGGGGGGGAGAAAGAGACGAGGATAAATCCGTTCCAAGGCTTCCGGGCCGCTCTTAGAGCGTTCTGGAACGCTCTGGGAAGGCCGCGGCGCCCGAGACATGCTCCAGAGACGCTGAATCTCAGAGGTTCTCGATTTCTCCTCACCCGACTCATCCTCACCCGAGACCCACCGGCGAGAGGGGAACGAGCGAGCGAGCGTCGGCTACAGGTAAGAGTGGCCCTTCGCCGGAGTGACCTCTGGTGGGCGGCCCATGGGGGCCAAGCCTGGGCACGCAGGGCGCTGCCGCCGCCTTTGGTGCGCAGCGGTCGGCTAGTTGCGCACCAAAGGCCCTCTTCTGCTCAGTCACGGCCAAACTTGCGCGTAGCCATAGGGGGGGCGGGGCGGCGAGCGAGCGAGCAGACAACCGCGAGTCCTGTCGACAAAGAGGGGGGCGGCGCCCGCCGCGGGGAAGGAGGGGGAGGGCATGGGCGAAGGATACGGGCGACGGACGGGCAGCAGCACGGCGGAGAGCTGAGGGTGATGTCGACGACGGCGCGGCGTGGTCGAGCGAAGCTCCTGTCTCTTCGCTCCGCGCTTCGCGCTCGTGGTTCCCCGTCCTCCCCAGACTTCTCGCGCCGCAAGGAGATCACCGCGGAAGGCTGCCCGCCGTTTCTGGCCTGCCCTTGGGCCAGCGAAAAACGGTTCGAGCAGAAACGGGGGTCTGGAGGGGCCATGCTTCCTGGGGTCCACCTTGTGACAATGTTACGACGTTTAGAGTATGGGAGGGAGGACGCGGGGGGTGGGTGGGGGGTGGGGGGGACGGAAGAGGGTGGGATGAGGAGGAGGCAGAGACAGGAGGAGGAGGAGGAGGAGGAGGAGGAGGAGGAGGAGGAGGAGGAGGAGGAGGAGGAGGAGGAGGAGGAGGAGGAGGAGGAGTAAGATACTTCAGGTCATCTCCCTCCTCCTGCTCCTCCGCCTGAGCGTTGTCGTCGTAGTCCTCCTCCCTCCTCTCGATTGTCTCTTCTCCCCTCCTTTCCTCCTTCTCGTCTTCCCGCACCCCGCCTGCCTCCTCTTTGATTCATCCCTATCCTCCGTCTCCACCTCCTCCTCCTTTTTATGCTCCTCTGTATTCCTAATCCTTTTCGTCCACGTCGTTCTCCTGTTCTTCGTGCTGGTGCTCCTTCTGCTTCTGCTTCTCCCTCCAGCTCCTCCTTCTGCTTCTTTTCGTCATGCGCCTCCTCACTCCTCCTTTTCCTCCTCCTCCTCCTCCTTCTCCTCCTCGTTTCTCGCTCCTACCTCCTCCTCCTTGCCCCTCCTTCCTCCGCATCCCTCCTTGTTCTGACTCCGCCCGCTCCTCTCCGATAATCCATACGCCGAGGCGAAGCAGCAGACGAGTACCTTAGCTCATCCAGCGATACGGCCACGTGGTATTTTCGCAGTGGACTCATCGACAGCACACCGGCTTCTTTGGAGCCTTAGGTGGACTGGGTGCGGAGGGCAACTCACACCGCATAGCAACATCTGCAGCATCTTATCCGCGATATCATATCACATTGGATATTGGATTGCAGTATGCCCTTCTTCGGAGCGCACCTTCATACTGAGTCTATAGATCTCGAGATGTCCGTGGGCACGTGGGGCGCTGTAGTGGGCGCCGTCCGAGCCGTACCGCCGACGACGGCAAACAGGCCCGCGCCAGCGGTGACTCGACACAGTCGTCGCTTTTTCAGCTGAGGCCCTGGGGCACCCCCGCGCCACCCGCCAGCGGGCCAGACTGTCTGGTTGACGCGCTCGCTCGCTCGCTCTCGTTGTCCGCTCCTCGTCCCCTGTCGCCTCGCCCCCTAGGGGAACTAGCCGGAGAGCATCGAACGGCAGCGTTAGTTTCTAGTGCCCTTGTTGGATTCCTTCGTCCCAGTTGTGCCATCGCCAGAACTTATCCGTATCCACCGCTTCGGGGTCGGGTCCTAGGATCTGGAGGACCCCTGTCAGCAGCGGTCGCTGTGGGTATCTTTCCGCCCCCGACGACGGGGAAAGATCCACATCACCGCTCCCCTCAGATTCAGGGCAGGATTCCAGCAGCTGCAGATGTTTGACGTCTTCTGGCGGCGCAATCGTGTCGCAAGACCTGACTCTGTAGGAGGTGCTTCGGGGGAGCGCAAATTCCGTTTAAAATGAGGGGGGACGCCGTCGCGGCGTGAATTGAGTTCTTTTTGCTTTCTGGTCGACGAATCGAATGCAGCCCGTGGCCGAGGTCAGATTGGGGCCCCATCGAAGCGCCAAGTGAGCACCACAGCGAGGCGCGTGGTCCAAGGTGGGGCGGGTTGTGGTGGGAGAGAGGCGAGTAGTGGAGCGGGGCGGGGCGGTGAGGGGGAAGTGGTGGGAGAGCTTCTACTCGTCAACGTCGGCGAGGCCGACGTCCTCCCGCTGAGAAGGGCAAGTGTCCGCCCCTCAGAAAAGTTCTAGGCGAAACCTTCCAGTTGGCCCGCGAGTTGGGCCGCTGAGAACTATATAGCAAGCCAGGGTGCCACGACATATGCACCTGCCGGGGACGGGGAGTGTACGCAGTATGGTCAGTACTTTTTGAGAGCCTGGCAGCATACTAAGACGCAGTGCTGTTGATGTGCTCGGTACGCTCAGATACTGATGCGCCCAGACGTCGCAGGTGTGAACACGTCAGGGTGCCAACATGCCACAACGCTATGGTGCCAACCTGATGATGCGCTGAAGTGTTAGCAGGCTGAGGTTTACAGCTTCGGATCGTCAATCTGGTGGGACGACGCTGCGCCACGATGTGATATCCGTGAGGCATTCCATCGGCAACCTGTTGACCGTTGGACTGGTACGACCTCCAGGCCTGTGGGGCTTCGTGCCAGCACGATGCAGGGAGGGGTGCAATACGCTAGCACTCTGCGGTGCCGAGAGGGGGTGCGGCGGGTAGGCCCCCCCCCAGGGCCTTGCCGGCCTCCCGCCCGGCCCACCGCCGAGGCAGCAGGCGGCGACGCAGAGCCTCCTGGGCTCCACCGCCCCGGGCGCAGGCCCCGCTGCTGCTGCCGGCCGCCGCCGCCGCCGCCGCGGCTGCTGCCGCCGCCGCCGCCGCCGCTGCTCTTCCTGCGCGTGTGCTTCTGCCGCCCGCGGCCGTGGCGAGCTCGGCGGCTCTGCGGAGGCCACCGCCCGCCTGCGCAGGGGCAGACGCCGCGGCGCGTCCGCGCGAAGCCCCGGCGGCCTCCCGCAGAGCGGCCAGGTGGCCGCCGGTGTGCACCGAGGCCAAGGGGCGTCGCCTCCCAGAATACGACCCGATAGCCCCACAGAAGTCTCGGGGGCAGCGCCCTGGCCACATCCCCAGGGGCAGCGCCCCAGAGTCCGCCTCGATCCCATCGATCCGATCAGATGTCGAGTTCGGCTGGTCCCATCCGTTGCGACTCCGGTATTCCGGCGATCCTATACGGCCCGATGCCGGTAGGACGCTGCTGTGCAACCTGGCGCGGCCGATTCGATCCGATGCCGACTTCGTTCCGACGCGGCCCGATCCAACGCGCGTTCCGGGCTTCCCGATCCGGTGCCGACTGATCCTGCAGCGCTCCCGGTGCCTTTCCGTCTAGTTCTCGCCCCCAGCCCCCGACTGCTCGACGAGAAATGAAGCCGCTCATCACCAGCCTCGAACCTATCCCTATCCCTAAGATTGACACGCTAAAAGGAGATGACAATCTTAGGGATACACCCTCAGAAACTGAGGAAATCCCTAAGATCGCCATCGTGATGAGGCGATGCCCAACATAGGGATAGGGATATGTTCCAGGCTGGTAAGCTCAGAGAAGGAGGGAAACTCGTGGTAAGCTCAGAGAAGGAGGGAAACTCGGGGATACTCCCGCAGGGAGCTGTTCGTTCGCACCCCTCTCGAGGCTGCACGCCCCCCTTCGTGCATCCCCGGGCTGGGCCCCGCACTTTCTGGTCCGGTCGAAGACCCACGAAGTCGGGGACAGGGGTGGACAGATCCCTGGTCAGTGGGGGGTGGAGGGAGGGTTGGAGGAGGAGGAGGAGGAGGAGGAGGAGGAGGAGGAGGAGGAGGGGGAGGGGAGGGGGAGGAGGGGGAGGAGAGGAGGAGGAGGGTGGAGGAGGGTGGGGGATGGGGGGGGGGAAGGGAGGGACCGTTCCGTGTTGGGGCCCCCGTCCCGTGCCGAGGGGACTGGGACTGGGGGGGGGTGGCGGCGGCCCCGTGCTCTCGGAACGGGTGGAGGGGGGGTTGGAGGAGGAGGAGGAGGGAGGAGGAGGAGGAGGAGGAGGAGGAGGCGGCGAGGAGGAGGAGGAGGAGGAGACGGAGGAGGGGAGGGGAGAGGAGGAGGTGAGGAGAAGGAGGATGAGGAGGTGGAGGAGGGGGGTGGGGGATGGGCAAGCTCCGTCGGAAGGTTAGTTAGTCGCCCACCCCTCGATCAATTAATCGAGGGGTGGGCGACTTCCTGTTCATTTTGCACAGGACCCGTTGCCCGTGTCGATGCGGACGTCGTCGATTCGAGACAGAGGGGCCGCCTGCCCAACAGCGGCAGCTGCCGGCTTGGGACAGCATCTGCGGTTGGGCACCGTGCCGATCTCTTCCGTACTCGTTCCGGGCGTCCAGAGTTTGGCATCGTTCGGACGTGTGCAGTTTTCTTTCGGCGAGGACTGTCGAGGAGCATCCTCGATCATTTGGCGAAAAAGCCACGCACGGAACCGAAAAAAACACAGGGAATGGACGTTCGAGCGATGGCGAGAGAGGGGGCGCTGCCCAGGCCACGCCGCCGCCAGCTCTGCCGGCCAGCACTTCGCCGGCCAGTCGCCCCAGTACCAGCAGCAGCAGGCCGCGACGCAGGGCCTGCTGTCGGCAGGCCCTCCTCCGCCCCCCCCCCGCGCGTGCTCGCCCGTGGGCGGGGCGGCCCTGCGGGTCGCCACGGGCTGGCCTCGCGCAGAGGGGGCGCGGGAGGGGGAGGGGGGAAGGCTTTCTGCAGAAGCACCCCTGCTCCCTAGAAGGCGCGGGCCTCGTCTGCAGATGCAAGGCCGCCGCCTTCTGAGACGGGGCCTCCTTCTAGGAGGCTTTCCCCCCTCTCCCTGACCCCCTTGCGCGCGCCGCCAAGCGAGGGAGGAGGCATCCTCTGAGGGAGGGGGGTCCTGCGTTTGTCCCCCGTTCCGGGCCTCTCGGGCCCCGTCCCGGGCCGCGGGGCCCTCGAATCCTGGCCGCTTCGCGCATCCGCCAAATCCATAGATCGCTAATCCATGCTTGCGCGCCCCCGAGCTACATAATTGGCAGGGGCCGCCATCGACAACCAGCGGGAACCAATGCAGACGCCAGCGCCAGGCGCGCGAGGCCAGGCTGAGCTGGCTGTTGCGCTCGTGACCGCCGCCGTCGCGGCCGCCGTTGCCGCTGCAGCCGACTCGCGCTTAGCCCCCTCGGCCTTGCGCCGTTGCTCAGCCCCGTGCGCCTCCTCTGCCACCTGCCGTTTTTCCCCAGTGCCACAAACTCCTGTTCCTGAGCCTTCCGTCGTGGACCTTGAGCCAGGACGTGGCCACGGACGGGAGGAGGGGGTTGAGGAGGACGAGGAGGAGGGTGGGAGGAGGAGGAGGGGGGAGGAAGCAGGGACAGGGAGGAGGGAGGGAGGGAGGAGGGAGGGAGGAGGGAGGGAGAGGGAGGGAGCGTGAGGAGGGGGGGGCGAGGGAGGGAGGGGGGGAGCGAGGGAGGGAGGAGGGATTAGAGGATGGGAGGAGCGACGGGAGGGAGGGAGCGGATAGGAGAAGGGAGGGAGGGAAGGCCCGCCGCACCCTCAGCAGGCTCGCCGCACCCGCAGCACGCGGAGGCCCTGCGGTCCCCGTCGCCCGCCGCGCGGGCGCCGTCCCCGGCGCCGCCGGGCGCCGGCAGCCTGGGGAGCCTGGCTGCCGCCCAAGACGCGACCGGGTGCTGGGCCCAAGACGGGTATGGCCAAGGGGGAGGGGAGGGATGGTGGAGCGGTGGGGGAGCCTGGGGAGCCTGGCTGCCGCCCAAGACGCGACCGGGTGCTGGGCCCAAGACGGGTACTCCAGATTTCGTAATAAAAGGGAGGGGGGTCTCGTTTCGGGGGGGGGTCTCTTCCAGGCTATCTTGGAGGGCCTGGGGGGGGTCTGGTAACCTCGGGGGGGGATCGAGGGGATCTGGGGACGATGTTTTGGAGGGTTCTCCCACGGGGGGGGTCTGAAATGGCTTGTCTTGGAGGGTCCAGACCCCCTCCCTTTTATTACGAAATCTGGAGTATGGCCAAGGGGGAGGGATGGGGGAGCGGTGCGGGAGCGAGGGGCGATGGCCGGCCCGATGCCCGCGCGGCACGGGAGAGCCGAAAGCGGGTGCGGTGGAGCCCTGGCGGGCGCTGCCACCTGGGGCCCTCGGTGGAGCTCCCCCTGGGGCCACGAGGCGTGGGAGGGGTGTGACCGGAAAAGGGTGCGGTGGTGCCACGCTGGCGCTGCCACTGGGGCCTGTGGTGGAGCTCCCTAGGGGTGCACGAAGCGCCCGCGCGGCACGGGAGCCGAAACGGGGGCGGTGGAGCCATGCGGGCGCTGCCACCGGGGCCTTCGGTGGAGCCTCCTATGGGGCCACGAGGCGTGTGAGGCGTGTGCCGGAACAGAGACACGCGGAAGGCAGAGGCACAGATGGGAGGAGGGAGGAGGAGCAGCGGGAGGAGGAGGAGGAGGAGGAGGAGGAGGAGGAGGAGGAGGAGGAGGAGGAGGAGGAGGAGGAGGAGGTGAGGTGGGAGGGACGCGGGTCGCTGTCTCTTCAAAACGAGGGTCCAGCAACGATTTGACCACGCAAATGCACATCACTACGTGGCCACGTGACGCGTAACAGACAAGACGGGGTCAAGGACGAGGAGCTGGACAACAGGTTTGTCTACGTGCCACTTTGGTTTGGCCATGAGCACCTGCCAGGACGGGCATACCACAAGACCAAACCACCTCACAATGGCTTACCTGCCCGACATCAGCTACACGTACTTCCAGCTGCTGCGCCAGCGACGCAAAGACACCACAACGCTGGACACATATGCATTTCACGAATCGCGAATCACTGGGCACTACGGCCATACGACATTGCCTACTATAGGCCACTGCAAAAACGACGCGACGGTCAGCCTCTCGTGCAATGACAAGAGGTACACGAGAACGACATCCAGCACCGCACCATCATATCAATGCCACGGCATGGGCTGGCAGAAGACATTGCAGCAGAACGAGTACGCCTCAAGTACGCGTGCTACACAAAAGACGGTACTGGTATTGAGAAAGACTTCGCGGATACCCTCTACAATATTTGAACCCGCAGATCACCGAGTGGTGCGACTTCTCCCTGGATTAGCACAAAGGCATGCACACACTACATGGACACGCACCTGAACCGTTTCACCTGCTCGATGATTAGCAGCAGCACTATAGACACTGGCTCGCAGCTGCTCTCATGGACCAACTTACTTGCAGACTCACTGCACGCTTCTCGAGCAACAGCACTTCACCCACCATGGACCACCTTGGTCAGTGACAGGCCGCACCGACACATCACACCACCTACATCTTACGCCTCTCTCCGCCACTCTCTCTCCGCCTCTGGCCGTCCCCCGCCGCCCCTCCCTCGGCAGCCACCTCCAGACCGTCCACCTCACGTCTCAAGCTACAGCAGACGCTTCAGATGCGTTGTTTTAATTATTTCGTTACGTTTACCGCTACGCACCTGTACGCAATAGTAGTGACCGTGTAGTAGTCGTAGTCGTAGTCGTAGTCGTAGTCGTAGTCGTAGTCGTAGTCGTAGTCGTAAGTCGTAGTCGTAGTCGTAGTCGTAGTCGTAGTCGTAGTCGTAGTCGTAGTCGTCGTAGTAGTAGTAGTAGTAGTAGTAGTAGTAGT